CTCAACTGAGGCTCCTTCCTCTTTGATGACTCTAGCTTAGGTCAGGTTGACAGAAAACCGGCCAGTACAGAGGCTATTGGGACAGGTGTTGCTTCCCTGATTTCTTTCTCAGTATATTTGTCCTTCCTGTAGAGGAGGACTATTGATTTTCATGTGTTAATTTTGTATCCAGCTACTTTGATGGAAGTGTTTATTGGCTATAGGAATTCCCTGGTGGAATTTCTAGGGTCACTTATGTATGCTATCATATCATCCACAATACTCTTTGACTTCTTCCTTTCCAATTTATATCCCCTTTATCTCCTTGGGTCATCTTATTGCTCTAGCTAAGACTTCAAATACTATATTGAGTAAGTATGGAGAGAGTGGACAATCTTGACTTGTTCCTGATTTTAAAGGAATTACCTAGAGTTTCTCTGCATTTAAGTTGATGTTGACTATGGGCTTGCTGTAAACTACCTTTACTATGTCGAGGTATGTTGCTTGCATTGCTAATCTCTCCGGGGCTTTTATCATGATGGGGTGTTGCATTTTGTCAAAGGTCTTTTCTATATCTAGTTAGATGATCATGTGGTATTTGTCTTTCAGTTGGTTTGAATGGTGGATTATGTTTATCAGCTTACATATTTTGTACCATCATTGTGTCTCTGGGCTGAAGCCTACTTGACCATGGTAGATTATCTATTTGATGTGCTCTTGGGTTCAGTTTGCAAGTATTTTACTGAGTATTTTTGTATCAATGTCCATAAGGGAAGTTGATGTGTAATTCTCTTTCTTTGTTGGGTCTTTATGTGGTTTGGGTTACAGGGTAACTGTGGTCTCATAAAATAAAATGAGCAGTGTTCATTATTTTTGTTTTGTTTTGTGGAATAATTTGAGGTGTATTGGCCTGGGAATTGGGGCAAAGAGAGAGGAGGCCACAGCAGGTGATCTGCAGCAGGCTGGAGCTGGGACTGGGAGGCTGGGTCCAGAGGAGTGGAGGGAGAGGTGATCTGCAGTTCACTTATTAACCTTGTAAATAATCTCTTAGGTTATATATTTTGACCATATTCTTTCCTGTCTCCCAACTCCTCCTGGATCCTCCTCACTGCCCTTCCTGCCCAAAACAAACAAACAAACAAAAAATCCAACTCAAAACCCCAAAAGACCAAAAACATGTTAAAACTAAGCAAAAATCACATAAAAGTATGGAATGCATTATGTGTTGACAAACTACTCCTGAGTGCGGAGTATGGTTGATATACCCAGTGATGTTCTGTCTTAATCACAGTGCTAGATAGTTGACACAGGCTAAAGTCATCTGGGAGAAAGGAACCTTCTTGTAAACCTGTACAATTAAGAAAATATACAGCCAGGCAGTGGTGGCACACACCTTTAATCCCAACATTTAAGAGGCAGAGGCAGGCAGAGTTCTGTGAGTTCAAGGCCAGCCTGGTCTACAGAGCAAGTTCCAGGACAGTCAAGGCTACACAGAGAAACCCTGTTTCAAAAAAATTAAAAACAAACAAACAAACAAACAAAACAGAAAGGAAAGAAGAAAGGAAGGAAGGAAGGAAGGAAGGAAGGAAGGAAGGAAGGAAGAAAGGAAGGAAGGAAGGAAGACTGGGGGCTTGCTTATGGCTTCCGGGGACTTAGTTGATCATCATCATGATGGAAAGTATGATGGTACGTATGTATGGTGCTAAGAGCTACGTCTAGATCCGTAGACCGAGAGGGAGGAGGAGAAGAGAGAGAGAGGAAAGGAGGGGCAGAGGAAGGGAGGGAAAGAGAGCGATGGTGGGAGAAAGAGAGAGAGGGGAGAGGGAGAAAGGGAGGGAAAAAGAGAGGAGGAGAGGGAATGAGAGAGAAGGAAAGAGAAAGAGAGAAAGGGAGGGAGGGAGAGAGCGCACACATGACTGGGTCTGGCATGGACTTTTGAAGCCTCAAAGCCCACCCCCAGTGGCACACTTCCTTCTAATCCTTTCAAATAGTGCCACACATTTGAAAGAGCATTCAAATAGATTAGCCTATGAGGGCCATTTGTATTCAAGCCACCACATACTCCATTGGAGAAAACTCCTTCCCACTCTCCCATGAGCTATCCATTGTAAATAACTTCTAAGTGGGATCGCCCCCGCCCCTCCTTATCCATGCTGGCATTTTGTCATGTAGTTCTTGTGTGTGCTATCACACAAGATTATATGTGCATCAGCCCTCTTGTGTCTGGAAGATGCTGTCTCCTTGGAGTCCTCCTCCACCTCTGCATATTACGACCATCCTAACTCCTCTGAAGCATAGACCACTAAGCCTCAAGGTGGGAGGCTTGATAAAAACTTCCCATTTGGGGCTGAATACTCTACAGTTTCCCAGTCTCTGAACAATGTCCACTTGTGTTGCTCTGCAATAATCCATCTACTGCAAGCAGAAGCTTCTCTGTTGAGGGCTGAGCAATGCATTGGTCTATGGGGGTAGCAATGTGTCATTATGAGTTATTTTATTGCCCTGTTCATTTAGCAGAATAATAGTAGTAGGTTATCCCTAGCCACACACACCGGAAAAATGGTAGTAATGAGTCACAGGGAAAATCCACTTGTCTTAAAATAGAGTATCACTATACACCCTATTTGAGTGGCTGGAACTCATGGAGATCTATCTGCCTCTTCCTCCTGGGTGATGAGATTAAAGGCATGTACTATAACACCTATTTATTTATTTTTAATTACTTGCATGGGTGTGAGGCTGTGTATGTGCATGTGAGTGCAGGTGCCGAAGGAGGCCAGAAGAGGTCACTGTTTCTGCCCTGGAGCTGGAGTTATGGACATCCCAGCTGTCTAATGTGGGTGCTGGGAATTGAACTCAGGTCTTCTACAAAACCAATACAGCACTCCTACCTGTTGAGCCATCTCTCCAGATTCTCAGCTATAAATTCTGATAGCCAAAACTCACCTGTATACTTACAGTTCTACATGAGGTCATCAATTTCGATATCTTGGAGGGAAAAAAAAGATAAGGACAGACACTATGTTTACTAGCATAGTTGGAGACTTTAATTGCACCTACACCTTTTAGATTACCTCAGTGTTTCCCCAAGTGTAAAAAGCACACCAATGGTGGTATAAAGATGCTGTTTAAGTGGCACATGGATGAAAGGTTTTAATGATTTTGTGTTTGAATGTGTAGTAGAACAGACACCTAACTATTATACTAAACCAGATGCTTCACAGATATTGTTGCTTAGAGCAGCAATATCTCCTGTATTGCAGAGATTGTTTTAAGTAAAAAGATTAAGAAGATAATATACCCATGAGTGCTGTATTAAAACATATGAGCAAAAAACATTGAGATGGTTTTCAAATGGCTGGAATTTGAAAATTAATGGACTAATTTCTTACAACCAGAGTTTGAGGAGGTAGGAAAGAAGAAGTTAGGAGCCACAAATTAGTACATGTGTTCCAAGGCCCCACTCACACTGTTTCTTCCAAAGCAGCAGACGCACTGACCTCACGAAGCTGTGTGTGCCCAGGAACAATGTTGCGCAGGGCTGTAAAGCATTCTTGCATGGTGAGCACATACACCATCTCCATCAAGAGGTCTGGCTTTGATGTGCAAGTGTTTTCTTTGTGGATGAGTAACACTAAGCTTCCAAGAAGCATCAATTCCAAGGGGGAAAGTTTTCGATTATTGTACTGTGGATAGTACTCTCGTGTGGTTTCAAAGTTTAGCTACACTTAAGAATTTTTTTCAAAGCATTTCTAAGTTAAAAACTATAAATTAAGGCAAGTCGTATGACAAATGGGGCACAGGGGGGCAAGTAACAGCACAAGAAAATAGGGTAATTTGCTATTATCTCACCCTTTCGTTAACTGGAATGGAATTCCAATATGGCAGGCAGAGTGTCTGGTTAAGGAGTTGGGAACAATCCAAAGTTAAGTCTTACAGGAAATTATTGTTTACGGTGGGTGGTTTGGGTTAAAATTAATAAATCACACAGGACATTTTCATTTTTCAGTTTTATTTTTATCAAAACAAAATAATTTAACCATATAAAGAAGGAGGAACATTCATCAACCAAGAAGCCAAGCGCTTCCCCATCATGAACAAGGGGTAGAGCTGTGAGCCCCAACTATCTGCCTGTGTGATCTGGTGAGTCACTCTCTAATGCTCCCAGTGGCCAGGACTGACTCTCTCCCAGGCTCCTTCTCCCCAGGGTGATACAATATGCTCACAGGTCTGTGTACCCCTTCAGAACAAATTATGCATATCACCACATCAATGCAAGGTATGGAGAATACGACACAGGGTTGAGATTCAGCACTCAAGGGTGTTCTAGATCCTGACATCTATATTTAGTGAGTTTTGAAAGAGACAAACAAATGTAGTGTTCCAGAGGTGGTGCTTCCTAAACCGGGGACCAACGACTATAGTAAAAAAACAAAAACAAAAACAAAAACAAAACCACACGAGCTTCCCTTGCCGCAATTGTAGGGCTGTGACTGCCCAGAGCCAGGTGAACCATGTTCCCCCTTCACCTATTAAATGACATCAAGGGAGCTGAGTGCCGCACGTTCCTGTAACTATAAAAATCTGCTGTACCAGGCAGATTTTGTGCAAAATGCAAATTTCTATGCTGGGGGAAGAAATGAATGAATGATGCTATCATTGTAAGTGATGGATGTGAGCTCGAGGAAATACTTTTTGGCATGAGACTGGGAACCGTTTGTCATTCCCGTGGAGGACAACGGCCACCGGCACTGTGGCAAAGCTGGCGTCCTTCAGATCCAGCTTTAGAAGGGCAGCACTCAGGAAAGGGAAGTTCTAGTTGGCTCTGAGTTACCCACCAAGTTGTTGGCTGTGCGTCTATTAGAATCCAGAAGATTCTCTCCTTCTCTCTCTCTCTCTCTCTCTTTCTCTCTCTCTCTCTCTCTCTCTCTTTCACACACACACACACACACACACACATCCCCCTCTCTCTCCCCCATCTCTCTGCCCCCCCTTTCCCGTCCCCTTCTTTGTGATCCCTCTCTGTTTCTTTCCCTCCATCCCCCTCCCCTCCCTCTCTCTGTTTCTCTCCCTCTCCCAACACCACAGACTGTCCTGGTTACTGTGAGGTGTAAGCCTTGGGTCTTAGGCCTTTGCTTCCTCTAAAATGCCAAGTTTAGACTTAACAGGAGGGAAGAACGATTCCTACGGCACCTTACAACAAGGAGGATGAGTCTGGCCACCAAAACTCACAAATCTTTAAGAGTTGGCCAAGTGGAGAGAGATGCCTTGTCCTTCCATGCACCTCATAGTGTGGCCAGGCACAGAAGTTAAGGGAGACAGTCAGTGACCAGTGGCAGGCACCATGAGCAATGACACTTGCCTGGCAAAGAACCTGAAGCCCTCTTTCTCACAGTCCACGCAGGTAACCCTGGAGAGGATATTTGTGCAGGAAGCTGAAGCACCCGTTGCTTCAGCCTCCTCCATGAGGGTCCACAGGAGTAGCGGTGCAGGCAAAGAATGCACTGACCTTGCTGTGAAGCAGTTTTTATGTGTGGAGGTGGGCACTGAACCCAGGGCTTCATGCTTGCCAGGCAAGCACTCTACCACCGAGCTGCATCCTCAGCACTGGAAATAGATGTGCTTTGCCTGAACCGCCATGTGATATGTACTTGGGATATTGTCAAACGGCAGCAAGGACCAACTGGAAATACTAGAAGTTTAATAACTCAAGCTGAGTTTTGGGTTCTATAGGTAAATGTTTTCTTATAATTTTCTTATCATTGTACTTTGCCTTAAGAAAGTTAGATTTATAAAAAACGAGGGACCATGTGTTATATTACATATTGTATATATATATATATATATATATATAATTTATATTATATAAAGGACTCCCCATTAAAACCAAACCAAACAATATCTTACTTGAGGATATTTTTCAGCAGCTAGCTCCTCCCAAGGTCCTTCAAAACAAATGTCTGATAAAAAAAAAATCCATCGAAATACAAGGTTCACAAATTCACGTTGGTTTAAAGTAAAGGACTCCTGGCAGGACTGGCACTCACCAAATGACCAGGTGGAGCAGGGGGCCTGGCAAGCTGCCTGCCTCTGCCATAGACACAGGGCTTTAAAGAGATGGAGTCAATACTTTGTAACGTTGGATATAGGCTAGGGGGTGGCAGCTGCCTATAGTGACCCGCAAGAGACAGTGCTCCCACTGTGACATGTGGCATCGTGTGCTTTTTAGGGCTATTCCTATGAGATGGGCCTGGTGACACTCTTAGATCTGAGCAGTCACCTGGAAATCAGGGTCTAGAACAGCGGTTCTCAACCTTCCTGACAGTGTGACCTTTAATACAGTCCGTCACGTTTATGGTAAGCCCCGACCATAAAATCATTTTCGTGACTAACCCATAACTGTAATTTTGTTACTGTTATGAATCATGATGTAAAATCTGTGTTTTCTGATGGTCTTAGGTGACACTGTGAAGGGGTCATTTGGCCTCCCCAGTGGGGTCTTAACCCCCCAGGTTGAGACCCACTGATCTAAAAGGTAATTTTTCTTCCCTTGACCTGCACCTTCTGAGGCAAAGGAGCCAGTTCCACCTACATACATGTTCCACATACATACATGTTCTCTTCCACTCAGTTTTATCTTCATTGTTTCATAAATTCTGATTTATAAGGTAGGTAATTATACTCCAATGATGTGGAATGTCATTCTGTATATGTGTTGCTTTTATTGGCTAATGAACAAAACTGTTTTGACCTATGGCAGGGCAGAATATATCCAGACTGGAAGAGATAGGGAGAGAGTAGGTGGAGTCAGGGAAACGCCATGGAGCTGCCAAAGGTGACAGACACCAGACCTTTACTAGTAAGCCATAGCCTTGTACCAGCACACAGATTAGTAGAAATGGATTAATTTAAGATGTAAGAGTTAGTTAATAAGAAACTTGACCTAATAGATCAAACAATGTTGTAATTAATATAGTTTCTGTGTGATTATTTGGGTCTGGACAGCCAGGAAACTAAATGCAGCCTCTGCATGTAAAATGGTGCCCAATGTGGGGCCTGAACCCATGACCTTGAGATGAAGAGTCTCATGCTCCCCTAAATCAGGAATTCCAGTGGAGGAGGAATTAGATGACCCTTCCCTCAGTTTAACATACTACATAGCAGTAGTAACCTAACAATATCTGTGAATCAGTGCCCCAAAATGACAACTCTGGAGCAATGGCTTCCAAGGGGACATTTCCAGACTATGAAGACACAGCTGCTCCCACAAGGATTCCGCCCTGTAGACACAAGGGAGCTCCTCTGACCAGGTCTCGTTGTGAGGCACAGAGACAGCCATCCCCAAGGTCTCGCCGCCAAAGACTGGGTCGGGACTATGTCCCTCCTAGAGCTCTCCCTCAGCTGCCTGTCTCCGGCACAGGCCAGGGCAGAGATCACTGCGTCATTATCATTTGCTTTAAGAAGCACACAGAGGTCACGGCTAGTTCTTTTCAACTCCTGTGGGCTGGGTTTGCGATCAGTGAGCTAACTGAACATGTATGTGATGGCCATAGACAGAAGGACCTAATAAGAGGAAGTTACTTTTGCTATAGCATTGAAGTTCTCAGTGAATAACTGAGAAACTGGAAAGATGGCATGAAAAACACTCAAAAGTGTATCAAACTTTCTCACAGGTAAGGACTTAGGAAACTAGGCTCATGCCTGTGAGATGCTTCTCGTGGCTGCCTTGCCTGGGAGCACAAGATGTCACGTGAGCATCGTTACCTTAGAGTTAAAGCCAAACATTCGGCCAGAAATCACAAATTGTACAAAATCAACCAAGGCAAGTAGAAAATTGTAGAGGAATGAGCAATGTAAACTTCTTTAAGTTTCTCCCTTGCACTCAAGGGGACGAAGAGGAAGTCTGGGAACCTGAGGCCTGCGTAGAGGGTTGGCTGGCGCGGGGGGTACACCGGTTTGGAATACTGGGGGATTTGATCCGTGCTGTTCTGAAATGCCCAACACAAAGGCTGATTTAATTTGACAGCAAAATAACACCAAGTCCCCAAAATAAAATTACCAAGATGTAAAACAGTATCAAAACTCCAATTAGTTTTATGTCCTGGAAGCTTCTAGAGGAAGCCTAAAAGACTCCGTCATGAGGAACAGGCATCAGTTCAATCTGTACAGATTGCTAAAATGTAACCCTCTAATTGAAATTGCTCAGAGCCCAACATGACGAAAATAATCAGAGGAAAATAAGTGAATTTTCCCCCTTTTAAAAAATGAGTCATGGCGGTGACTATTTTCCTGACTTAATGCAGTGTTCCTTTGCAAGATCTAAAAAAAGAAAAAACAAAAACACAAGACTTTTTTGGCACTGGGGGGGGTCTCACAGGAAAGGCACATGGACAAGGGCCATACGTGCTTGTGTTACTGGCGCAGAGACAGGTACTGACCGTTTGCGCAACACTTAAAGGGCCTTAGGCGTTATGACGTATTTACACGGTCCCCTGGCATGGCTGCCCCTGACCAGTTTTGAATGCATCTAGACTTAGTCTCTAAAGTTCACAGAACCATCTTGGTGCCCAGTTCGTACCCCATTCTTTTTCCTCAAGACACCCCAGTGACCCCAAGTATGTTTGCCACTCTTCACTTAGTGATGGAGATATCAGGAGCTTGACCCTGTGGGGTCTCCCTGGTCAGGAACAATGTCACATTCGGCTCTTCCAGTTGGTGCCACTGGACTGGATGAAGCAGGTGCAGATGGCTGTGTCAGGCTGGAGCAGCTGTGTATGCTGAGCTTCTTGAGATGGTCAGTCTGGCCATCTTGGCTCTTCCAGGTCAATGTGGAAGAGTCCAAAGTCTGTCTGAGAGGCGCTGGAGAAAGGTATGGCTGGATCTGGGCATGGTGTTGGTTAGAGCTGGCTTGAAGGAACCTCACAGCTTTCACAGCTTATGGATGTTGTATGAGTGGTGACATTATCTCCGAGGATCCCCAGTCCTTGGCCATGGCCACCATCTTTCTCCTGAAGCACATCATACCTCTATAACCAGTCTGTCTTCATCATCACTGCTGGTATCGCTCAACTCCACCCGAGTCTGTTTTCTCATTCCTTCCAAACTCCTTTTTCGGATGGACCTCAAGGGGGCTTCAGAGACCTCTGAGGGCTGACCTTGGTCAGAAGGAGCCATGACACTCCTGGGGGTAATGAATCCTTCTGTGCAACAGGTGCGACTCTCACCTCCTAAAGCTGCACATGGGACGCTCACTTCCCCATGCCCATACTGGGTCCAGGAAGGAACATCTGCCTGGGGTCTCACTTCCTCCTGGTGTGAACTAGTTGAACTTGAACCAGATGGCAGCATTTCTAAATGTGTTCTTCCAGGTGATATTGGGCTAGGTGAGGGTCTCCTAGGCAGGAGTGCCTGCACTATGCTCTCTGGAATGGCTCTTCTATCTGGGGAGCTTTGGGACTCCACACTGTGGGCCTCCAGTGTTCTGTGTCCTGTTCGTGTCCCCGCAGAAACACAGATGGCTGCCACAGAGGTAGCAATGTCACAGTGGGGAAATGTTCCTTTCGATCTAAGGGATGGAGGCGGCTTTGAGTCATCTGGGGAGATACACAGGCTGGCAACTACAGAGACTTGATCCTGGGAAGGCAGCAGCGGAGTCCCTGGGGGTCTCACATCAGAACCCTTACCCTGGGGCAGGGGATCCTCCTGAAAGATTGTCAAGCACACATTGGATTGCAGAGATTGTCCTGACCCATTGGCATGCTCCTTCTCCTGAGAACAGTCATTATGCTCACCAGCAGATGGAGAAACACCCTATGACAAAGAGCAAAGGGGGAAAGGTTAATTGGCACAAAGAAAACTGTGATCTGAAACACGGTCTGCCATGAAAGCAAGGTCTTGAGGTCCCGATGACGCCTCCCTGAGCGTGAACCTCAATAGGAAGTCCTCAATAAGCTTCCATTAATAACTGATCAGCCCATTAACCTCAGCCAAGCCCCTGACTGATACAAAAGAGGTCTCTGTGTAAAGCCAAATAGCTCCGTTACCCAGCTGGTCTCACACTTCCTGTCTCCTGGTCTGCCTAGGGTGCTTTCGCATTGCAGTGACACCCAACATATGCTAAGCATCTTTCTTCTGGGGGAACTAAACACGCAGACTCGGGGTTTTCAAGAAAACCTGCCAACAGTTTCACAACCAAAGTCAACCAGTTGCTTTGTGACATGGGAAAGTCCGAGGATAGCCTCGGGTGTAGGTCAACTGTCTACCTGGCTTACAACAGGCTTTCTTGGTTGTTTCCCACTGCTGGCACCAGAACTTATAGGGGTTTTCCTGTCTCTGCCTCCCATCTCCCTGTAGGAGTGCTGGGTTAGACCCTCAAGATGTGTATCCAGCCTTGATGTGGGTGCTCAGGTCCTCACACTTGAATGGCAAGTGTTTTACTTACTTTTACTGGGGACCATCTCCCCAGCTCCAAAGGTGGCTAATTTTTCAGTATGGAATGTTTGGGATTTTTTTTTCTGGTTTTAGGTTCTGGGGAGTCCTAGAAGGAGATCAGGTAATTTTACCACATAGACAGTGAAATGGAAATAAAAGCATAAGTCGAGATGATGGGTAGATACTGGTGCCTAAGAATGGTGGTTCCCACCTTTAGAGTCAAATTGTCTCTTTCCAAGATAGTTTTTGTGTCAGGGGAGACGGGTTCTGAAGGTTGTTGGCAGTCACCTTCCTTCTCTTTGCTCCCATGACCAACAGGCAGGTTTACACTGGCACAGGATGGCTCTCCTTGCAGATGCAGACCTGCAAGAAGGAGCGTATTTTATATATACAATCATGAAGTGGACCAAGAACAACGAGGAGGCGGTCCAAGTCTCCACAGCGAGCCCCCATTCACACAGTGTGTCCAGGACTCTGATCACCTCCAATTCACACTCAGATGAATGCATTGTCTTCACGTCCTCCAAGGAAGGAAACAGGAACGCCAAGACACCAAGGTGATGACTCCATAACCACACACATTGTACACAGAGTTCGGCATGGTGCCCACTCTCGTCATAGCGCCACCGCCAAATGGGCTTCTTGGGGTTAATTTGAGATCATTTAGAGTAACCTGGTCCTGGAGTCAGGGGGCAAGAGTAGAGAACTTGCTAGACCATGGATAAGAACTCCTTGGTGGTGACATGCCTTGGCCACCACCAGAGTGCCAGGCATCAGGGGGAGAGGTGGGCTGGGATGCTGTCATTTGCTGTGGCTGATGTCACCATGTGGGAAAGGAAGAGACAGAAAAGCCTCTCACAGCTGCTCGCCCTTGTCCCCCTTACTCTCTCATTCACTTCCTCGCAGGACCCCACAATCAGGACAAAAGGACCATAGGGTGGTCCTTCCCAAGAAGGCAGACTGCATTATGAGATGAGCTGATTAAAAAAAAAACTTTCTAGAATGCCTGGATCCCTGGAAGATGCACTGGGCACTGTCAAATCTGCTCTTATTTTGATTAAAGTTATACATGCCAGAGTTTGAAAACCTCAAACCTTTCTACTTGTTAGGAAAGCTAGCAACCCCTGCTGCCCGCCCAGCCATCCTTTTTCATTTGGAGCACTTAGAGCTCCATCTCTCTCCCTCCTGTTGCTATGCTTACAGGTTGACCTAAGACCTCCTTCAAGGCCAGGAGAGAGCAGCTATTCTTCTAAGACCTTCGTTCCAAGCTGGGACGCAGCACACTTGCCTCGCTCAATCCTCTTGACCTTCATGTGCACAGCCCTGACTCCACGCCCTGTGTAGGTGGTGATTCTAAGTCACCACTGAACTGGTAGAACACTGAAACTGCATTGCCTTATATAAGCAAAATTGTTTGCCTCAGAGTTAATAAGTTTTGAGGTCCCAACCTCAACCTCTGTTTACCTTTCTGCAGATACATCACTCCCAAGACTCCCAAATGGCCTCACACTTGAGTTCTCTCTGGACGAGCTAAAGCTCACGCCTTAAGCCTCAAGCTTGTAGTAAATTTTGTGGATTCCCTCTTCCCATTAAAAAAATGGAAGAAAAGGAAGGTGGGAGGGAGGGAATAAGGAAGGGAAGAAGCGAAGGAGAGAAGGAGAAGAGGGAGGGGGAGGAGGAAGAAGGTGGGAAGGAGGAAGAGACAAGAAAATTGAAAGAGGGAAGAGTGAATGAAGGAGGGAAAAGACAAAAAATGATAATGATGATGATATTGATAATGATAATAATGAACAATTTGGTGGTCTTCCTCAGTAGTTTTTCCATTGTAGGCCTTACTATTATAGGATCATCTGGCCACATTGTCAATTCAGAGACCTACAACCAATGCTGGGTGCAACGTTAGGCACTTAGAATCCCTGCAGCAGGTAAGCAGAGACAGGAGGGTCCCCGGGCCTTGCTGGTTGACCAGTCGAGCCCAATGAGTAAGCTCTAGACCAAGGGGAATCTCTATCTAAAAATAAACCCGGTCAATGGCACCTGATGTCCTCTGGTCACACATGGCATCGCCTGCCCAAACCATCTCCTATGGGCACGGGTATCACAAACCATTAGATGCCTAAATCTTCCTGGGCTTCTAAAAGCAAACAAGGTCTGTAGAAATATGCTGTCCCTTAGAGTGGAGTGCGATCATCGATAAAGGTCTTCTCTTTCCACCGTCAGTTTGTAGATTTACTGTGTATGCTCTCCTGAGCAAACCAGCTTTGGTAAAGAACAGAGAAAGACAAAGGTTTAGAAAGTGGTAGGTTCCCCTTCAACACTGCCTCCGCGAGCACCTATGTGTCAGAGCTGTCAGCGACGAAGACACCAGCTGCTGTCTGAACCTCCTCTGTTCAGCAAGTGCGGCCCTGGTCTTCAGCAAAGCAGGCGCTGCACTTCCCGAAAACTCAGAGACAACACAACAGAGATGAGTCTGGTCCTCAGAGGATCCTGTGCTAATGGGGACAGAGATATAGGACGGGGGAGAGACACAGAAAAGAGTTTGAGATAGTGCAGGGCTCGTGAAGCAACAAGGCAGAGGGTAGGGGTATGGCAGAGAGTGGCAATTAGGAGCTGTTGTGGACAGAACAGGAGGTAAGGGAGAAACTGGCCATAAAGGCGGGGAAATACTAGAGAGAGATGATAAATGATGTTGAGAGTGATTGCACTGTCCACATGCAAAGGATACTCTAGAGGAAGGAGAAACAACAGCTAGGAAAGAACCTAGGGACCAAGAGACTGCAGCTGGGCCAATGTGGGAGGAGGGTGTAAGCAAAGGCAGGGCTGTCAAGAGGTATTTTCATCTCAGAGTACAAATGACTTCTTGGGAAAAGCCAATGTTTTCAGTGTGGATTGATGATGTGGGGGGACTTACGTATACTGTGAATATGGTTTATTATTAGTTGGTTAATAAAGAAACTAATCTGGTCGGTAGCCATGTAGAATACAGTTAGGTGGGAAATTTGAGCAAAAATACAGGGAAAAAGAAGGCAGAGTCAGGGAGATGCCAACAGCCCCTGGAGAACCAAGATGTGAGGTAACACCCAGAAACATGTGGCAATACATAGATTAATAGAAATGGGTTAATTTAAGAGATAAGAGCCAGTTAAAAATAAGCCTGAGCAACAGGCCAAACCATCTGTAATTAATATTAAGCCTCGGAGTGTTTATTTGGGAACTGGCAGGCAGGAGAGAAACCTCCAGTTACAGATTGACATTTGTGTTTTCAAAAATACATGTTGATGCCACCTGAAGATTGGCTTGCAGGGAGAAAAGCATCAGAGATAAGAAGCCAGTTCCCAGGTCTCCAGGGTCTCCTTGGTGGGGGGCAGATTCCATGTCCCAACCAGGGTGATGAAGGAGTGGAGAAAGAGGGTTGGACTTGGGACCTGCTTCTTTCCTCCTCAGGAAGCTGCCACAATAGCCATGTCTATGGCTCCATGGTTGCCAAGGACAGCCACTCACTCTAAGTGGATAGCGCTTCATCCCCACGGTGACAAAATGACCAGGCAATTCATTCAATTTAATGAAGAAATAAAACCAATTAGTATAGGGAAAATAATCAGATTGGCCAAACATCTTTCCAACAGGTTGTTTGTGTCTTTAAGCTTGAGCAGAAAGGTCGTGGGCACATTTGACCGGTAGCTTCTGGCTCATCCGAGAGAGCAAAGGAAGAAAATCTATTGATTTAATTTGCTTTCAACCCTACAGTCTACAGAGAAAAGTGAATTATCTCTAATAATTGTGAAAAATGTCCAAAAAATGTCACTGAAGTGTGTTAAACTAATTTGGATTATTGAAGCAGGACACTAACTTGCTTTGAAATGAATGGCCCCTTTCAAAAAGCAAGCCTGGCTCTGGTCAGACCTTAAAGTGCAAAATGCCATCTGTTTGGGCTTCATCTCCACACACTCCGAGTCACCCCCATCTTCAGAATCACGGATTCTACCGTCTCCATGCGTCTGCAGGGCCCGACTGCCCACACTCAATTACAGGAATCTTATTAGAGAATTCTCTCACCCAGGCTCTCTGCTGTGTGATCTTCCCCTGATTAAAGGCTGCACTCTTAATAATTTCTCTCAGAAATAATTGCCATGCCATGTCAGGAGGAAGAGACTGCTTAAGCAGTTACAGCAACTGCGAATTTAGCCGTCTTGAAAAGGCTATGAGAGACTGTAAAATAGTTAAAAAGAAAGCGCAGGCAGAGACAACATGACAAAACTGACAGTGGGATTATGGGCCTCTTTAATGTCAAATCTGCTTTGGGCTGTCGCATTTCCAGGCCTTATTAAAATGCTAATAAATGTATTACTCAAATATCATTATCTCAAAATGTGCGTAATTTGAATAATTTCTTTTGGTTTGTCCCAATAGCTCCCCAAATTCCATTCATGTGGAGTCCACAGACTCAAAAATCTGAGGTAGGAATGTCAGCCTCCAGGATCAGCCTGCTGCCCTTCTAAGCAAGCGGAAATTATAAACAGGAAGGTGGGTTTGGCTCTGGAACTCATAATTGATTTGAGATTAAATTGTTCAAAAGTGTCTCTGTCATTAAGGAACACACAATGTGCTGGCAATTAAAACAAGCAATCAGTTAAAAGAGAGCTGGGCAGATCTTTAAAACTAATCATACCGTGAATAGTTATTTGCTCATTTATTCAAGTATTTATTGAATCCATTGTAAGTCTATATTTTTGAACTCTTCCTGTTGAATTGCAGTATTGACCGAACACTGAGTGTGGCCAAAACTGCTCCCAGAGCAGTAAGGGAGGTTGATACCCCTCATGGAAATTACAGTCTAATAGGGGACAGAGATTCATTTCATTCTTCACACATTTTTTATTCGGGGGCAACATGTACCACAGCGCACATGTGGAGGTCAGAAACAACTTTCAGGGGTCAGTTCACTCCTTCCACCATGTGGGTCCTGGGATTGAACTCAGGTCTTTAGGTTGGATGACAAATGTCATACTCACACACACAAAAATGTCACCAAGCAGGGGTTATCAACACCGTGAAAGACTAGCAAGTACATGCTCAGATAGTAAGGTGATGTCCCAACCTCACGTCTATCCACAGAAAGACTTGAAACCACCACCACCAGGAGGCACACACCTTTAATCCCAGCACTCATGAGATCTCTGTGAGTTCGAGACCAGCCTGATCTATAAGAGCTAGTTCCAGGACAGGCTCCAAAGCTATAGAGAAACCCTGTCTCAAAAAATCAAAAAAAAAAATAAAAAATAAAAATAAAAATAAAGACTTGAAACCAAACCATCCAGGCAGTGCCTGTCCCTAGGGGGCTGTGTCACGAATAAATCTGAGTA